TTAAGAGCCTGTTCCTTAGGAGGAAGTCACCAAAATGGTTCCAACTTAAAGGTGTTGGGCTTTGTAGAGATGTGTGAGAGGTGCTGCATAAATACAAAGCAGATAATGCTCGAGGCAAAAGCTAGGGCCACTTAGTAGGTAGCTGTCATTTTAAGTAAGATAGAGAGGGATGAGAAGGGCTGTGGGATATACAGGGAATCCTGATACTTCAGTTTCAGTAGAATGCTCGGCGTCCGGGTGTCCCTGAAGAACCAGAGCTGCCCACATGAAAGGCCTTATACACCAGGTTCGGGTTATCCTTCCAGTGATGACCAGCCTGAAAAGGATATTCATTGGCAGGGTGACAGATGTTTCATGAAGGGTACCCTGGCTTCAGGACGTAGGTAAGGCTGAGTTGTGGGATGCTCTGAGGAGGCCCCAAACAACTTTGCAACAATGAGCTATGATCCAGAAGCCATAGGATATGAAACTGCAGAGGATGTGAGTGAATTAAGAGTGTGGTTGGAGATCGGATAATTGGCATGGAGGTGATGGAGTTAAGGAAGACTTCTGAGGAATCTAGATTGGGATGATTGAGTTGCTGCTGTTCCTGTGTATATTTATATTCCCCTCTTCCTTCTCCTAAGAAACCATACTCCCTTATTTATGTAAGTCTCCTGGCTGCCTTCTCTAATTCTGCACATTCTCCCTCCACTATTTCCTGGACAGTGGCCAGGATATTTTTCAGAAAGGGAATAGATAACAAAAGTCTAGTTTTTAAATTGTATTGATGACTCTGAGAAGTTTAGAATCAATTTACAGATTCTTATATAACATGTAGATCACTCTGATCTGTTCCTGGCAATGTTGCAATGTGCAGTTGGTGTCACATCATCCTTTGTTCAGTAAGCCTTAGCCCTCAGTCTCCTCAGGTTCTAAAGTGGGCTCGCCTTTCTGTTTTCAGTGTCTTTACATTGACTCTCATCTGTTGAGTGTCTTCCTCCACTCCAAGGTTTACCTTCATTCTGCAGCGCTCGGATGAGTGCGCTTTCCTTAGAGAAGCCAACCCTGCCCTTCCCTTTCACTTCTTTATATTCCCATGGTTGCTGTCTCACCCCACCCTTTAATACCAGTGTGAATGTGTGCCTGGAGGGCTAACATTGTATGTCTGTCTCCCACCAGGACCTGTGAACTCACAGAATTCCATTCTTTCCCTCACCATGTGCGAGTGCACAGCAACAAATAGTGACTGTTCAATGATTATATGGGCCCCTTCATCTAAACTAAAACAGTCAAACTGAACAAAATTTACACCATCTTAAGGAAGACTAGGAACAGGCAATTAGAGAGCTAGCTAAGAGTTCCCTGTTTAAATAATAATAAAATGTTACCATTACTCTTTAAAAGTCATCAGGACACACAATTTTAATCCTATAGTGTCTTGTAGGCTTTACTTTCTGTGTAAAACAAACTAAAAAAAGCAGCTGAACTGGAAAACTTAATATCTTTCCTTATTTGAGGAGGAGATGATCAAGAGAATGGCAAACTTCTGAGTGAAGGCGATGATTAGGAAAATTTTCAGTCTAAACAGTGTGCCTTATTTTTTGAGATGCACTATTAAAAATACATTCTTTGTATTTTTAATACAAAGTGCCATTAGTTCTACTTAAAATGGCAATTTCTAATGTTACTACAGGACTTTCCTTTTAATGCCATTTAAATTCCGTTAATCCTGCCTTTTTATGTAGCATTAAGTCGTACAAAATTTTAAATAAAATTATGTAGTGTAATGATGCATGCTTATAATTTGGAGATTATTCTGGGGGAAAAGACAGGAAGGTGGCGATTTCAAGGACAATGTGGGCTGTAAATAGAGACACTGCCTCAAAACTGAAAACAATACGTTAACACACACAATTCCCTTGAATATTGATGACTTTGTGAATGCTTCCTTTCTCATTCTACAGAATGACTTGCATTTCTGGTTTACACACAGTTTAGACTCTATGAAGTGCATGTATATTTTCCTATTTTTACATCATTCTTTATGAGTGAAATGATGTGCACAGATGATAATGCTGTGTGAGTAACAAGGTCCTACTGGACATGTGAGGGTTGTAGGCGTTCTGAACAGTCAAGTCTTACAAACAGCAAATGAAGCAGAATGTACAGTCTTCTCAGCTGGAAACGGTTTCAGTCCACATCAGGAAATACCATGAAGGACTGTCCTTGTCCGCCAGCAGAGGGTAGTGTGCGCATAGAAGTGAACCATTGGCTTGTGAGGCTCCTTTGGCCAGTGCGGTAGAATTCCTAGATGGCTTATGTTTAGAATTAGCAGTGCTGATAGGAAAGTGGTAAAAGGGTTCTGCCTTAAAGTTGAGATCTGAAGTGTGTGCTACCATAACGTTGCTGTTTCAGGAGGAATGGCCTCTAAAAGTCAAACTCCATTTTTAAAGGACCCACTAATCTGCCATGTGGGAAATGGACTCAGTTATCTATGTTCGCATAACTTGTAGCTTTTAAGACGAACAGGGGTATAATGAAGAAAGCATGAGCTTTTGATGTCTGACTCTGGCCACAGTCTGGTGGTACTGCATTCCAGCTGCATGGCTTGTGGCAGATTGGTAAAGCTCTCTCAATCTGTTTCTCCGTCGCCAAAATGTAGATGAAAAGAATGCAGAAAATTAAGTAATTACCTTAGACAAGACTCAGTTGATAACAAATCCATACTAGTTCTTTTTTTGAATGAACTTGTCTATTTCTTGAAACATTTACAGTTGCTGACTTTGAATGGGAAGAGGTCTGAGAGCTGTTAGCGTCTGTGTTTTCCTGCTGACATTTAGTTACTGGTTAAGAAATGACAGCAGGCAATAGTGTAATGAGATGTAATATTTTGTTCTTTTTCTCTGATTGCTACTGTACTAATGGCACTATGACTACTGAATTGGGCAAAGCTGTCCTTTAATCTTCGTCACCACAGTTTTCACTTTGGGTGTTTCCTATGTGCTTTTTTATTTATTTTTTTCCATATGCTTGCAGTATTTCATGTTTATTAAAACAGAATTGAGGTTCTGTGATATATAAATGACACCGTGGTTGACAGCTATAGACAGGATTGGAACTGTTAGAGAAAAACAAAAGTCAGACACCAGGCATATTTGGGGGAATGAGGAAGAGCAAAGACTGTTGCTTGAGGATACTCTTCCCCATTCAAAGAAACACGCTGGCCTTCAAAATAGGACAACGAAGCAAAAACCCTCCAGATATTCCTGAGCAGCGGATGTGAATAGAGAATAGTGAAGATGATGGAAAATATGCAGAGTTGATTATCATCATCTCAAGTGTGAACCCAGTAAAGGGAACTGAAGACGATGGTTGAGGAGAAAAAAGAGGAAACACAAATCAAATTTGTTATTTTTTTCGAACTGTGGTGATATTATTTTATGTGGCATTTCTGTGTATATGATGATGGATGTTCCAAGAGGAACATTTTTCAGTTGGGGTGTTTCTGCGTAGGTGGAAATTATAGCCACAGTCCCTGAGCTGTCTGGCTTATCTCAGAGCAAGACTGCCAGATCCTTGGCTGTGTAGGGGATTTAGAGCTTTGGGGCTCCAGGAGTTTGTGTAATTTCTGTTTCACAGTTGGGGGATAGGTGATCTTGAAAGTGGACTTGTGAGCGTAGGACTCAGGCATGTACCGGACACAGATTCCTCTCTGCTTCTTGTGATATGAAGAGAATGAGGCTATTCCCTGAGCACTTGCATTTCAGTGGTTAATAGTCCAAGACCACCTTTCTGTCTTTGCTGCCTTGTTTCTAGGGCCTGAGGAAAATAACAGTCTTTTAGGGCTTATTTTGCACTTACTGCTTAGAGTTCCATTTTTCTTTTTCTTGTTCAAAATACTGGTGTGATATTTTCATCAGTGCCTATAGTGCACTTTGGACATTTCTTGGTTCTGTAGTATGTTTGTCTCATTAGTCTCCTTTAGTTCAATGATAATTTGTCAAACTATCTCTGTAGTGTGTAAAGGAAGCCTGTTTTCCACAATACTTGGCTTTTGCTCTCCCTCCTTGATGAAGTCATGTTTCTGGTCCCCCAGTCCTTCTCACTGGGAAGGGTATTCCATGAAGCTCCACGGTATGCTTTCAGAGGTCATGTGGCTTTACGGGGCCATAGGGAGAGTAGTGGACAGAAAGGCAGAGCTGGGAAGGACTTGTCAGTGTTCTGATTCTTTTGGGCCAGAGAACAAAGCAAGGTATCGTTCAGCAAAGTGATATGTAAATTTAAACTAAATCCTAAAAGTCCATGTGTAAGTGACTATGAGTTTAAAGAAATACATAGGACATGGAACTTTACTTTTACTTAAATTTGTTTCACAAGTTGAAATCGTTTGTGAAGTTGAGTGAGAAGCTATTGCTTCATGGTTTCCAGCAGTCTTCTCTCATCTAAACTGGGATGCTGGTCATTCTGACCCAGATTGACTTTCCCAGTGCTCAGTGACTATCAGTCTGAGCACCAGACCTTGTTGGTTGTGAAGTCTGTGCATATGGAACCCACTCTTCACCCTGCATTGGCATCTCCTGTGTTAGAATCCGTTGTTGCTCTAATGGATGTGGATATAGTGTACAGCTTTGTGTGATTTTATGACATCACAGAACCACCACAGTTCCTTGGTACATTCCTCTTTCCTTGAGTAGAAGTTTCTTTGGTATTATCCATAGCCCTGAAGATGTCAGTGTGTGTTAAACCGGGAATGACAAGGTAGTTGTAGTCTCTGGAATTTTCTCTTTGCCCTGAGTAATAGAAGTGTCTCCTTCATGCAGAGTTCGGAGTATCCAGTGAAGTAAAGTGAAGCTGCCTTGAATTCTCAAGTGTGATGCAGATGTAGAATGTGTGTTCACAGTAATGCCAAGCAAATGCACCTTGGCGGTGATTTCACTTAGAGTGAATGACTGCCATGGTTAAAGAAACTGAAGAAATAATTTACATGTCTTTATATTTTGCATTTTCTATCCTACCAGAACCGGGACCAGTATTCACACCTGCTGAGTGATCATTTTCTGCCATACCAAGGTCATAATTCCTTTCGTGAGAAATACTTTAGTGGTGTAACAAAAAGAATTGCCAAGGAAGAAAAATCAAGCCAAGAATGAAAATTATGTTGACAATCAAGAAAGAATAAGCATTTTATGGAAAAGACTTTTGGATGTGAATTTGTGTGTTTGATCTGGAAGACCTGTGCTGATTTAAAATTTTTATATAAATAACTGCTATAAATCAAAATTGAATAATTTCAAAATGGTCTTTGTTTTAGAGACTATTTTGATATGTCTTTTGAACCTTGTTAAATTTCAGGGACAGATACATATAGATGGACTCAGTGTTTATATTTTTTACAAAGGAAATATTGTTAACTTTTTAGTCATATCTCCCAGGTATATAATAGGCAATTAAGAGTGATTTAGAATATTTTCATTTTGTAAATTTGCTTGGTTTGGTTTTTAGTTGTATCTGTTTTCACTGTCACCAATAAACTTTTCCTGAGAATTTCTAAAGATTATGTGGTACTTGGTATTTCTCATTTCATTTCATGGAGAGCTTTTAGGAAAAGGAATGTTTAACCAACAGTGCATGCAAGTCAGTAATAACAGTGGCCATGTTTGCTGGGAGGAAGGCTCAGAGGAGAACCGCAGAGATTACAACCCCATCGCCTTCAAGGGCCTTTGCCCGAGCCCTGCATCTGCACCTCAGATTTGCTCTTGCATTCCTAAAACTTGACTGTTGGTCAAGTTAACTAACTCCCCCCAGTTTTTGGTTTAGAAACAACTGATAGAAGCAGGGACAACTGCTCATATCCCCGAGGGCCCCATAATGTTATTGAGCCTGATCAGTGCTCTTTGAAAAGATGCTATATTTTTTCTTGAAGGAGAAACTTTGCTGAGTCTACATTGTGTCCATTGTAGAAATATCTTCTTTGAAAAACCACTGTACCCATTAATTCTAGATGCTGATAGCTTTCTACTTTTGGTGGTCAAATGAACCTCAGCGGGTAGGCAGTAAATGGATCCTTTCTTTTTAACCAGAGCCTATTTTTATTTGTGTTGTTGTTGTTGTTGTTGTTATTATTATTATTATTATTATTATTATTATTTTACTGTGACTGCCGAGTTTTATGAACTAATGATATTAACTTACATGGCTTAGGAGCTGTGAAAGACTAGTGCTCTGGGTGGAGGCCGGGTGTTCCACAGAGTTCGGCTTGTCTTGTCACGTGGCACTGGATTTTGGCACTCTGAAACCTTTCCAGGTTGTCTTGTTTGGGTCTCTGGATATTATTTGTGCTACTCTGGGGGAAAATCTAAAAGTATCCAAGGAGGATTTCTTTGCAGTATTTCTGTTATGCACCATCTTATTTTTAAGTTTTTGAGGTTCTGTTGGAATGGGTATGAATCTTCATAGCTGACTCAATTGGAACATGAAATTTTTGGTTAAAACCCTTTTTGTGAATTGTCTCAAAACTTAATCCAAATCACAACACTACTTTTACTCTTTGTCCTTACAAGTTAATTAATTGAAGATTTCTGGATATCAATTCTTCCAACTGTGTGGTTTATTTTCACACTTATCAGTAAGTTCGGCTTCTTATTCCAGAAGTGTCACTCAAAGCTTAAACATACATAGTTGCTTCAAAGTTGATAGAAGATAGATAACTTTCTAATTAATGTGACTTTAGGTTGTAGGCCTTTCTTAATGCTCTCTCCTGTAAATTTTTATTTAATTAATTTATTATTAATTGTGTGTGTGTGTGTATAGAAGAAAGGAACCACTGTTGTAGGGACTCTGGATTCTGGGGATTGAGCTTAGGTTGTTAGGTTTGGGCACAACGTGCTTTGTCCTCTGAGCCATCTTGTTGGCCCTCAAGCTTTTTTATTATAAAATTAAAACCTTCATTTTCTGCATAAGTTACAAATGGTTTTGGTTGATAGGTGACCTTTTCCTCATGCATTTACCAGTAGGAATAGCTCCTAATATCTCCTAACAAAGATCTGTAGTTTGAAATTTGCAGTATCTTCTGAAAGGGAACTGTAGGTGGTCTGTGGACTGGTCTACTTAATGTTTATAATATGACAAAGTATGTAATTTTGTTTCTGGCATATATTAAATAGCCATAAAATCCAGATGGTTACCTTAGTGGTGCCTCATCAGAAGCACCTCCTTCCTGTTCATTCTGTTGAGAATTTTTTACCCCCTGTGATAGCTGCAGGGAAATAGTGGAGTAGGTGGTCTTGGGTTTGTTTAGCCAAAGTGGCTAGAAGATTTTTTTTTAAGTTTAAAATCTGGTAAAATTTTCTTGACCTCTTCCTGCCCAGCATGAGCCTGTTTTGAGCCAGTTTCCAACCAATCTCCTTATGACTAACCTTAAATACACGGACTGAGCAATAAAGCAGTCTTAGACACTAAACTCTGGGAGGTAACTCAAGGTTGCCACTACTTCCCTTGAGAAAACTCCCTCAAATCTTGATTCCCTATTAGTGAAAGAAAAATGAGGATTCCAACGAGAAACTGTATTGAGTTTGATGTAGAAAAGTAGAATGAGTTAATGTCACTGCCTGATGTACTGAGTGTGTTATTTGATTGGATTGAATATTTGAGTTTTGGGACAGAAATATCTTCTAAGGTACTATGTTCTATACTCAGTATACATTAAAAGCTGAGGGTAGAGTTGCTTTTAGCATCAGGAAATTAAATGTTAACACTGTATTACCTAGGTGCCAATATAAGCAGCTCTATCTTTTGAATATGATGCCTTTGATGTTAGGTGAACTTCTAACATGGTATGCTGGAAATACCAAGTACTTTTTATTCAAAGAGATACGGAATAAATGATAATGTTTATTTACGATTAGAGATGACTGAGAAATTACCTTTCTATGCCATTTTATTCTATTTCTCTTGAAAAGGCGCATAAACCCAACATTAGTCATTCTTATGTGTATATGGGTTGTGTGTGTGTGTGTGTGTGCGTGTGTGCGTGTGTGTGATTGAGTGATGTGTGCCTATGTGTGGGTATGTATACAGTTCAGAGGACAGCCTTGGGTATTGGTCCTGATCATCTACTTTGCTTTAGGCAGGGTCTCTTCGATGGCCCCTGCATATACATGCCAAGCTGGCTTGCCTGGTAGCTCGCCAGGGGTCACCTGTTCTCTCTCAGCTTACCTTAGGAGAACTGGGATTACAAACTACCACTAACCCCAGCTTTCTATGTGTCCTGTATTTGTACTCTGGTCCTTACACTTTCATGGTAAGCACTTTACCCATTGAGCCATAAAACTTCTGGCAGTTCTCACAGTTAAAACAAAACAAAACAAAACAAACAAACAATAAAACAAACAGACCCCAAACCTTTGTAGTTAAAGCCGAGCATAAAAAAGTTCAGGGCAGTGTAAGGGTGGACTGGAGGTGGGTGTTAGCAAGGAAGCTGTTGACCTCGTTGGTGACCTTACTGACCAAAAGAGAATAAATTACACCAAAATGAAAACTTTGGCACTTTTTTTGCAAGAATATGGTTTTGCTCCATTACAAAGATACTTAGAAAACTAAACATTTGCAAAAAGCATTTCCCCTCTTAGGATTGTATTCACAGAATAAGTGAAGTTCACATTCATTTCCAACTCACCCACTCCCATTTTTCTCAGATATTTATCAAGTAATGTGGTTTATAATCCAAACAAAAAAAAAGTTCCTTAATCCAGAACATACACATGACACGATAACACTAGACTGATGCTATTTGTACTTTGCTAAAACACTGAAGTCTTCTCTAAAACAGAGCGGTTTGCACACGTAAAGTCTAGAGTGTAAAGAATTATAATGGAATGATAAACATATCTGTGATTCTATCTAGCAATAGAATCACAGAAACAGCACATTCCTGTCTGTCCTTTGGGGTGAACAAACTTAGAAAGAACCTGACTGTTCCTTTAACAGAGTCTGCCTCGGGACCTGCATATGTTTCTTTGTGTGGGAAAAGCACATTGACATTTACACATAATTGAGGCCAACCTGGAATTTGGCTCTTATCCCTTTCTTCATAAGCTATTGTAGACGGGCTCTTAGGAGGATGGAGTTTAGTTGTTATGGCAGTCTCTTAAGAAGCTTGAGTCATGGAACAAAGTGGAGCTTAATGTATGTATGAATGTTAAGGTACGCCAGCCTCCTTTCTGTAACTCATTCCCTAGTTTCTTGGCATATTGGGATGTGCTTAGAATACTTTTCTGTGGACCAACTTAATCAAGTTTTAATCATGCTGAACTGAATAGCTTGAAAGGGATCTACTTTGTCCTTTTAACCTCTAAATTTAGAATCTCCCCTTTAATCAACTGCCTCAACCTTCCTATGGGTTTATCAGGAGAACTGTTTTGACTAACACATTGTTAGCCATGAAGATTTGTTGGGCCTATATGTGAAGTTAAGCAAATTAAAAAGAAAAGAAAACAGGAAATATCAATGGTACTCATGATATTGAAGTTGTGCTCTGATGGCCATTCAAGCTGTAAATTGTTGAAATGGGTCAGAGTTGGACCAGATGAGCGCTAAAGTCTATGAACCCCTTAAAGTTTGTGTATAACTCATGGACTGGAACCCACAAAACTCCACATACCTTTAATACTACTGTTCTTGAGGCTGAGACAGGGATCATGGGTTTGAATTCAGCTTGGGCTCATAGTGATGTCTGGTCTCACACATGAAAGAACAGGCATTCAGTCTATCGTGGCATGAATATTTCACCACAAATTGGAATGCATTCAGTACAAACAGCAAGTTGATATGTGGGGTTTAGGAGGGCCAGTGTTGCTTTTGTTATTTTCATTTTTCTGTAGCATACACTTATTGAGGAGTGTCTCCCTAGAACTCTTGCATTCTCTATGTCTATCTAAGTGAGACATGGACCTGATCCTTAATGAGCTGGGAATCTGGAAGAGATTTTCTTCAGGCTCCTCCTACAAGTCACAGAACAGAGCTCAAGCATGCACACAGTCTTGGAAAATTGTGTCTTCTCTTCAGAGTAAAAAAAAAAAAAAAAAAAAAAAAAAAAAAAAAAGATCATTCTAAGTTTACCTATTTTCCTTTGTGATAAAACCCATTGTGTGTAAAAGTATCTCTTTGAACCTATTGACTCCATCACCTCAATCTTATACTGATTATCATGCTGCTTGATGGACATGAATTATAAAATTCTTTGTGCATGATTTGGGAAGGTCATATCTTCTGTCAGCATCCATGCAACTGGCCGTTAACTTACTGGATTATAAAAAGCAAAGTCTTGAACCTCTTACAGTTCTGAGAGTTTGGTGATGAGGGTATGATGCTGACAGAGATGTTGTTTCCTAGAAAGAATGAGCTTTTTGGCCAAATGACAGGATTTGAAGGGAGTCCTCAGGGATTGCTAACAAGCCCCCAGGCCCAACCAGGTCACAGAGCAGTCTTCTTATTTCCTGTTCACGAGGAGTGTGGGAGTAATGGCTCCCA